TGATTCAGATGAAGAGGACGACGACGAAGGGCGTGGCCTGCCGTCTTTCAGAATCTCGAAGGCCAGCAAGCACAGGCGAGGGGGAAGCGGCAGCAGCGGCAGCGGCGCGGCGGCGGCATCGGCGAGGGCGGCGAGGGCGGCGCTAGGGGCGGGGAAGAAGACGGTGCAACCTCTGGCGGGCCCGGCCGCCTCCGCCGGGGGAATTATCAGCAGCGGGGCCCCATCCAGGCAGGAACAGGCGGCCGCGGTGCCGAACTTGCTTGACTTGGACGACCTGTTCGGCGGAGGGCCCGGGGATTCTGCGGCGGCGGTGGCGGCGGCTCCGGGGGGGGAAGGAAAAGCGGCGACGGTGGACCTGATGGCCGATATTTTTTCTGCGAAGCCTGCCCAGGTGAGCGAGCGGTGGAACGCGTGCTTTTGGCTTGTTGTTGTTTTGGTGGCGGTGATGTTCGAGAGGGATTTCGGGTTTGTCTCTCTCAGGGGGTGCGTCAATATTGAATAGTTGTCGGTTGAGAGTTTTCGTGGTGGTGAAATGGTGGTATCCTTAAAGTAGGCAGAGTGAGTGACCCTTGTAGGTTAGGTCTCGTGGTTTTGTGCCGTTGCTCCTGCTTCGGTTAATTTTTCGTCCGTTTTTCTTGGAAACGCCAAGAGTTGGCGGCCCGACCTTGTCTCCGTTTCTCTCTTTCTGCTCTTGTCTATTGCTGGCGGTGATCGATCCGCCTCCACGCCATAACTGACATCTAAGTCTCATTGTCGTCGCTGTGGGTGTATACCCCGCTTTTCCCACGTGCCTGCAGCCACCGGCGGCGGCGGGTGTCGTCGACCCCTTCGCTCCAACACCGGCACCGGCCACCGCCGCTAACGGCAGCGGCGGTGGAGTTGGTACGACACTCGCAGCGGCGGCGGCGGCGGCGGCGCCGGGAAGAGAAGCGGCGCCCGCGGTAACGGCGGCAGCGACGTCGGGTCAGCCACCGCCGCCCTCGTTTGTCGCGTTCGAGAAGGGTGGCCTGACGGTGACCTTCGAGCTGTCCAAGCCGTCTCCGACGGAGGACCCGTCGACCACTCTCGTCAAGGCCATCTTCCGGCATTCCGGAGCCAGGTGAGATGCTGCCTCCCGCTCTACCGCCCGCGGTCTGTTGTCGGCGGCGGATTGGTTTTGGGCGGTTGGATGTGTCGGGTGTGTGGCACACTTTCGTGCCAACATCGCAGGACTCGAGATACTCTTTAGATGCTGTTAAATAGCATC